GGGGGGGGGAGGCGCGCAACGACGACAGGTTGGCAGGGCCCCTGAACCCACACCTTGTCAGCGAAGACCATGAGGCCGTAGTCCGTCTTGCCCCTAATGGCCCGACCCACACACTGGGCTGCATGGCGCATGGCGTCAAAAGTGAGAAAGTCATTCTCACGGATCTGGAACTGGTCCCGCAGGTATTCCAGCCGTGCCTGTGGTGAGATGGGGGAGCAGTCTGTCCCTCACTGCCTGACCCTCTGCATCAGCCCCCTCCCTGCACAAGTCCTAGCAGGAGGGCCCAGGCACTGCTCACCTTGAGAATGCGGCTCTGGGTGTAGACGTAGGGGACACCAAACATGATGACAGCCCTCCCGAAGTGGTGCACTGTGTGGGTGGGGGCGGTGGTGAGTGATTTCAGATGAGACCAGCTGGAGAGAGCCACCCTCACGCAGCCCAGGAGTGGGAAGAGAGTGAGTGTGCTGAGGGCCCTACCCGGCACCCAGGGATGGAGGGAAGGGGAGGCCCCTGTGCGTGCCCAGGCTGTGGGTGGTCCCCTGGGGGAGCAGAAGTGGCCAGAGCTCTGGAAGGCTCTTGGAAGAGGAGAGCATAGTCTACCCACCAAAGTCGATTCCCTCGGACACTTTGCCTCGAGCCACTGAGAGCAGGATGGCCCCACGGCCATTCTCACAAGCCTGTGGAAGGGAGGCCAAGACAGAGCTGAGGCCCCTCAGAACTGTCCCCTTTGGCCCATCTCCAGCTGCTCTTTCAGCATCCTCCACCCCCACCCTGCATATTCACCTCCTGGTACTTCTCCAGGGCGACACTGGTCTCAGCCCCATCCTGGGTCTCAATGAAGAGTAGCTTGTTCCTCTGGATGTTCTCGAGGATGCCCTGGGGAGGGACACTGGGTGGGTCATGGGGTCGGTAGGAGGGTTATGCTCAGGGGTGTCCTGGCTAAACTCAGCTCCGACCCTGGTTCCCAGGCAGCAGACCACTCTCTCCCCAGTGGAGACTCGGGAGGAAGGATGGTAGCACAGGCCAGCTTCACTTCTTTTGGGATATCCTGTGATCCTGGTAGGGAACTGATCCCCACGCCCCAACTTTCAAACAAGTGGGGCAGGCATGTGACCCAAGACAACCAATTGGGACACTCCCTGCCCAACCAGTGACTGTGGAGATGAGACTTCATATGTGACACTGTAGCAGAGATGTGTGACAAAGGACAGACACACAGACCAATAGGACAGAACAGAGGGTCTAGAAACACACCCCCTCGGAGATAGTCACCTGTAACCTCCAGAGCTCTTTTCAATACATGGGGCTGGAGCAACCGGATTTCCACATGGGAAAAAACTGAGCCTTGACCTCGACCTTACTGCTAACCTAGATGTGAAAGCTAAAACTACAGAGCTTTCTGGAAGGAAACGCAGGAGACGACCTTTGTGACCTTGGGGTAGGCAAAGGTTTCTTAAATAGGACACAAAAGGCACTGAGGATGTGGGGCTCAGGTGGCCAGCAGCAGAGGTCTTGGCCATGAGTGGATGAGGCTCTCATCCCACCGCCCCCCGGTGTTTGGATCAGGCAGTTCGCTGATCTCACCTAAAGGAGCGCTCGCTTTCACCCACCCAAGAACTGGGCCATGGGGTGCTCAGCAGCAGAAAGGACAGAGCAGCCCCCACCCCACATCCTGCCGCTGGCTCCCCATTTCCAGAATGCCCCGTGACCTCGCTCACACACTCCCCAGCGCAGACTCTTTGTCCTGAGTCTCTGTCCAGCATTAATTCTCCAGAACCTTCCTCTTAACAGCACAGCACCCAGCTAGAGTTGTGCCTGCTACCCAGTGTCTCCATGTCAAGCCATAGATGTGAGGGGAACACAGTCATGGTGGCAGCCCCGAAAAGAGCAGGAAGGGAACAAGGAACCAGGAAGGAGGGCTGTGGTTACTTCTCCTGAGGAGTAGGTCTTTGAGAGAAGGGCCCAGAGACTGCTAATGTTAGTTCTTAACCTGGACATGGGGGAGGGGCACAGGGATACACACTATTCTTTAAACTGTTCATGTATGTCTTATACTCTCTCCTGTCATCTATGACACATCACCATTTATAACATTCAGAGCCAAGATCTGAGAAGCAAGGGGCCTTGCTGGGTGTGGACAGTGGGGCGGTGGGCGTACCTGCTCATACCAGGAGGCCACGGTGCTCTCCATGTACTGGTAGCTGGTGAAGAAAGCCACAATGCCATCGGGGACCACGGCAGACATCTCCAGCAGGAGGTTTCCATAGTTCCGGATCACCGCTGTGAGGGCCAGAGGTTGGACCCTCTGCTGGCCTGGGTCCTCTCCCTACTCCCTATCAGGGTGTTCCTGTCTAATGCCTGGTCTTGAACTTGGGGTTCCTAGGGACCCCAATGAGCCATCTGTAGGGCTGTTCACACACACATTCTACTTGCAGACCGGTGGGAGGACAGCACTCCCCACTCCCAAAGTTAGGAGTGGCCATGTGACTTGCCATAGCCAATGAAAGGAGCGCAGGAGTGGCTGTGTGTCACTCTCAGATGAGCACCTTGGTGAGCCAGTGTGCAATTCACCATGATCACCATGGCCCCTCCCATCACATCTCGCCACAGCAGTGATGTGTCCAATGCTGGAGGTTCCCAGAGAGGCGACATTGGGCAGGCCCCCAGCATGTACCGGGACAAGAAGCAATCTCTGTGTGAAGCCACTTTGACTTGGAGTATTTTTTACCACAGCAAGACTTAGCCATACTGACTGCTAAACCTCTCCTCTCGGAACCCACACCAACCAACCCCTTGGGCAGCATACCAATATCTTCCCGGGTCTCAAACTTGGAGCTGATGGCCACCTGATCGTTGCCACGGCCGATGATCTGGAGAGAGAAGATAGCATAATAAGCGAAGCAGCAGCAGCCACTCCGATGCGTGAGTGCCCGCCGCCAGCTAGTGCTGTTCGAAGATCTTTATAGACATGGTGTCATTGAATGAACCCTCAACTAC